TCAATTCGTGCCGAGGATCAATGAAATTAAGGGGGGTCGGAAGCTCTATCCGTGCCCTTAAAAACGCATCCTCGAGTAGGCAAACTGTTCAACGGGTGAAAATTTTACTTTTACTAGAGACACCTTAGCTTCACCTTGTAGGAGTATCCCACTAAGTATCACTAAAATCTCTTCCAAAACCCGATTTTGTGCAACGAACGGTGCCACACACGTTGGGCTTACCCCATGTTTAAGATGTCAGATTATTGCCATGGGGGACCAACTGCGTTTCATTAAGTACTCTACGCACCTTCTCATGATACAAAAGTCCAAACACAACAGAAGTCATCTATATCACATGAATCAAAGGTCCTAAAGCCACTAGTTCACACAATCAACCGGCACAACAAGGAGACAAATAGGAAAAATCTTATACTTCAGCATCCTCCATTGTGCTACAACTACCTCCCTAGGTTGCATAGTACTATAAAGGCTGTCAATTCAAAGCATACTGATTAGGAAATTGCAGGGAACACGTACTTGAAGCCCTCAAATTTAAAAATTTGGACAGCGGACTAGGCTCCAAGCACGCACATACAACCAAACATTCACAGGCATATATAATAGAACATCCCCCCACACTTAAGCACGACATTGTCCTCAATGGAGGAAAGATAAGGAGGGTAGAACGAAGTTACCAGATCAAGTGTGAATGATGGTGGATGGGGCAGGCGGTGCATTCCTGGAGAATAGAGTAGTCGGAACACAAACACCACACAAAATATCACAAAGGTTGAGTTATTGACTCTAAAATCAAAGAACAAAACTGACTCAACCGAAGAGAAATAGGGAAATAAATGCAAACCGAATGATTGGGTTGTCTCCCAACAAGTGCTTCATTCACGTCGTGAGCCGGACGATGACTCCTAAGTTTCGGTTCACCCCAAAACCTCTTTGAAGTTGAGGTTCTCGTCGATGAGGTGGAGTCTCAAGTCACGAGCATGTGGTATGACAGGTGATGAAGGCTCGTGCACTTGATGCAGATGAAGTCTCCATCCCCGAGACCTCTTCTTCTCTTTTCTCATCTCATTGCCCCAAACTATATATACCAACATCGATTGACCACCATCGCATCTACCAAGAGGGATAGATGTTTATGTGGCCTTGGTCTGGCAAAAGAGATACTGCAAATGGGTTCTTGCTAAGCAACTCCTTGAAGTTTGGTAAAGATATTACTTGTAACATAGGGCCTGTGAAAGCCTCTTCTACCTCAACTTCATCCTCATCCTGGACACCAATTGCTTCCTCAACCCCCATTCCTTCTTCAAAATGTGGTATCAACCCTGGAAAAGGATCAAGAACTCCTTCTGCTTCACTTTCTTCATCCTCCACAATTTCTTTCTGCACCCTTTCTTGCTCTTCTTCTTCCAGCACGGATTGGAGAGCAAGTGGCCAAGCAATTTCTTCGATGAGATCATCTTGCATCTCCTCACTCATGCTCACCTCTACAAAGCTCAGTGTGGGCTGTGGGACGCTGTGGTTGGCTACGACATGACATTTTTTTATCATGATCATCACGGGAGCTCTCCGTGACAACTTCTTTCTGCTCCACAATGTCTTCGTAGCCTTCGCCTTCCTCCTCCTCTTCTAGTATAGTAGCAGAAGGGTGATCTTAATCAGGCTATGCATAAGATTTCTCAAGATCCTCGAGACTCTTCTTAATGCTCGGGAGGATCTCCTCTGTTTCACGATAGGCCTGGGTACAAAGATCAATCTTAGAGTATGATCTCTCAGTTCCTCGAGCAAAATGCTCCACGAGAAGCCTCAATTCATAGTTTGGATCTGGACATGGAGTGTAGCATGGCTCTGCAGAATGGCCCGTGAAGGCCGTCATGGCTAACTCCAGCTCCGATGGCCCTTCTAGGTGTGAGATAAATTCTTCTTGATAAGGAGGTTGTTGAAGATATGCCCAGGGGTTTGATTGTTCTTCGTAGTAAGGGGTTGGTACTGGAGACCGAATCCATAGTCTTCTCCTCCTCGATTTCTCCAGGAAGTCTCGGGGTAATACCACTCGGATGGTGGTGGATACCCCCAATGGTTGGAGAAGCCATGATGATCCATGATTTAGCTCTGCACCAACAAAAAACAAAAAACACCCAGGTGAAAAGCAAGGGTGGAAAAGAAAAACAACAGAAAGAAAAGCTAAATTAATAAACTTCTTCCTTTCCTAATAATCTAGAAACTCCCCGGCAACAGCGCCAAAAACTTGACTCGCTATGACACAACTCCTAACAAAGGCCAAGTGTAACCAATGAAAAGGACTGCAGTATAGTGGCTCAAGTAATAAATATCGAATCCACGGGTCTCTAGAGTTACTATTACCCAGCTTCAGTTCATTATCTAGTAAACAAGATTAAGATAGAACAACTAAAACTACTCTAGCAAACTACAGTTAAAATCAATCTAATTACTGGTTGGGAACTCACTTAGGTATGATTCCCCGTAGCCACTAGCCAGATTAATGATTGATGATCTCTAACCTGTTTCACTTTCATTCACAATGCGGAGAATCCTTAACTAGACCTTGAGTCTCGACTAAAGGAACAAGGCCCTCTTGAGTCAATTGCCTATAGGGACATATCCTTCTCTAGAACAACCGATCAAGGCGTTCTAAACTAGATTCCCTCGATGGAATGAAGTCCTCAATCGATACAAAGCAGTAAAACAAACCTCGACTAAAGCAATCGATCCAGTACTATCAATCTATGGTACTCTATTGACCTAATCAGGTATTCGCTCTCATAGGATCAAAGCAGAATCAATAATCTCGACTAAAGCAGAATTGGATCATGAAAACATGCATAGATTGAATATGAACTCAATATTATCAAGTAAGAGTACTCATACTATCATCCAATCAAACAAACATGGATAGGGTTCCTCAAAACCTAAGTGAAGGGAAGTTACTCCGTAGAGAAGAGAGAGACTGCAGTAAGAATCTTCAGATGATCAGTCTTCAAGTCCAGGCTTGTTCCTCGAGCTTCCAAGGAGTTGAAATCCTCCAATTCCACTCCAAGATTTCCCTCAAATCGCACTCTCTCTCTTTGGTTCATCCCTTGGGTGTTTGGGATCCAAAACCTAGCTCTCCCCTCTAAAAAATCACAGAAAGTAGACTTATACCCGAGCAGAGGGCAGAAACACGGTCGGGAACACGACCATGTTTAGTCCTGCCCGTGTTTTGGTCCCGCCCGTGTTTTAAATCCCTCCAACAGTCTTCACAAGAGTGGCTCGACATAAAAAACACTGGCAGGTGCCAGATGAAACACGGCCGTATTTTTAGGGTAGTCTGCCCGTGTTTCTTCCGTCGAACATGTTCCCCTATATTCTATGCTTCCTTTCTCCCTCATCCGGACTCCGAATTAGTTTCCTTTTCATCCTAGATGCTCGTAGTCTCTTCTTCTTTCTTTTCATGACAAGCTTGAAAGATTCTTTGTCCTTAAATGAGGTATAAATCCATTCTTCTTTAGGTCATTCCCGAGTTTCTTCTCCCGAATCGCCAATTGATCTCCGATTGACTTGAAACTTGCGCCTATGCCTCCCTTTACTCACTAAGACCTAAAATGCGACAAAGGAACACAACCTAGCGTAAAATAGGCTAAAAAAGCGAGAATGCAAGCTTAAACAATCAAGAAACAAAGGGGAAACATGTGCAAATATCGAGTCATCAAGTCCATTTTTTCTGTGTTTCGTGTGTTCTCGGAAAACACATCAAGAAAAGTTTTAAACCTAAACAGAGTTAGGTTTTCTCTTGATAACTTGGGTCTACTTTCTCTCTCTCAAAGATGAGACCTTCTCAAAATTTAAAATGGTTACCATGCTATTTGATGTAGAGTTTGAAATGATCAAGTGTGATAATGGAGGGGAGTTCATTTCAAAAGAGTTTAAAAGCTTCTGCAGTAAAGTCGAGATCCTTCATACCATGTCTGCCCCTCACACTCCACGAAAAAATAGAGTTGTGGAATGGAAAAATCGCACACTAATAGAATGTGCTAGAACCATGTTGTTTGCTATATGAGAAATCGTGCTTTGATTAAAATAAAATTGAACAAAACTCATTATGAGCTTTTAAAATAGAAACGTATTGTTCTAAATAGAAAGGATGCTAAGCCATATGAAACTTATGTTCTAGGGTACTTTGTGAAAGGACAATCTTTTCGTGTTTATAATAAGAAGTCCAAAATAGTTGAGGAATCTGTCCATGTTGTGTTTGATGATGCTAACCCAGAGTATGGAGAAGCTGCTCCTGTTCCCTTAGATTTTGCAGAGATGACGTCCTCAAGCACTTCTCTCGATAACAGTCCATCCCCAATGTTTTTATGATGTGCGAATGATTTAATAACTATATTTGTAACTTTAGAATGTTTCTGTTTATGCTCCTACCGATTGTCCAGATATACCAAGAAAGATGTACGGTCTAATGAGGCCAATTGAGACATTGTAGAATAGGCTAAACTTCTCTTAATATCTGTTTGAGCAAGGCTCTTTCATTATTCTAAGTATTTATTCTATTATAGGCATTAACGAACTTATTATTCTGAATTCTTGGGTTCAAGAATTCCTATATAAGTGATGCGACACACTAAAAGCTTTTTCTATTCTTTTATTATCTGATCATCCTTTGGTGTCATTGACATAAGAGATGTCGTTTCTACTCTATCTGTTTCTATTTCTATATTGTTTTTCTCTATATATGACTATATATATGAAAAGTTTCAAAATCATCATATAATAATCCAAAGATTACAATAGAAAAGAAAAAAGGGTCGGGGAGGAGGGTTCGTGATGATCTTTTTATACTAGGTAATATAATATCCTTATGTGATTATCTATCTTATTCTATTTTTATTCATTTACCCATTTTGAAATAGAGTAAAAAATTTGCAGGAATGAAGTCTTGAGTCTTGATAGATTTCGCAATAAAGACAGAAAACCAATAAAATACCCTTTTTCTTTTTATAGGATTAATCAAAAGGATTCACAAATAAAAGGGCTAATGCTACAACCAGTCCATAAATTGTGAAAGCTTCCATAAATGCCAAACTAAGCAATAAAGCACCCCGTATTTTCCCTCTGCCTCGGGTTGTCTCGCTATACCTTCTACAGCTTGTCCCGCAGTAGTGCCTTGACGAACTCGTGTTCACTAGAAGCAAGCCCTACAGCTAAGCCAACAACAATAACGGAAGCGGCAGAAATCAATGGATTCATGATAAGTTCCTAACACCAAAGGAAACAAGACACCAAGAACCACACCCATAATCCATGTCAATTCACAAGGTTTTTAAAGCTGCCGATAAGATACATAGGAAATACATGTAAGATCATCATTAGTAATTCAGAGTCCATTTTGAGAGATTTGGCATCGTGAAAGTTCAGGAGCAAAGATCAAGCCTAATAATCCTTATGTTGTCCCTTTTCAGAAGGGTAGAATGGGTGGTAGAGGTGTTAAGAAAAATGAGGACGAAAATACCAGCGTGGAATACTAGGGGGTTTATAGACCCTAGTAAGTATTAATTAGTTCATAAGTTAATAAGACAACATAATTTAGATAATTTAGCTATTTTAGAATCAAGATTAAGGGAAGGGGAAGCTAAGAAGTTAATTGAAGATAGATTCCTAGATTGGGAAGAGAAGGTTGCTAATAATGCAAATGGATTGGGAAAGAGTGGTTTGCTCTGGAGGCAGGATGTCAAATTGAGAGTCCATCATACATACTAGTTCATTCATGCCTTCGTAAGCTCTGATAATCCTTTCTTTATTAGATTTGTCTATGCCTCAAATGAGGAAGCTGATAGAAGAAAATTGTAGGAAGATATTGATAAAATTCAGATACCTACAGAACTTTGGGTTGTTCTAGGGGATTACAATGCTATTGGGAATCCTATCAAAGATTCTAATGCACCTGTGTTTTTAGCTAGTATGTCAGAGTTTCAGAAATGGCAGTTTCACCATGTGTTATAGGAACACAAGTCATTAGGTCCATGGTTCACATGGATAAAACAAGAGGGTAATCCCATAGCTAAGAGGTTGGATAGATCCTTTGTGAATATGAAGTAGCTAGAGGTTTTCAATTATAGTGTGGATGACTTGCTTGATCCCCTCTCCTCTTACTTGTCTGCCGTTGCATGGACATTTTTCTCATGTTTAATGAAACAAGATGCTAAGAGTGGTATTCTTCCTTTTCCCCGAGATGTAAAAGACCATGTCTAACTAACCTCATGTTGGCTAATGACTTGTTGATATTCTTAGATGGGTCAAACCATGGAATTAGTTGGGTCAAATCTATCTTTGAAAAGTTTAGGTATCTTTCCAATCTGGTATCTAATCCAGCTAAATGTGAGCTTTACTCTGGAGTTCTATCACCAGAGTAGCGGATAGCAATGGCTGACAGAGTAGGGTTTAGATTGGGCTCTCTACTTGTTCGTTCTACCTCTTATTCCTTGGAAGTTGTCTATAAAGGCTTGTAAGCCTCTCGTAGATAGGTTAACTGCCAAAGTAAGTAGTTGGAGGGTAAAATGTCTAAGCTATGCGGGTCGACTGCAACTGATAATGGCAGTGTTGTACAACCTTACTCATTTTTGGATGACCATATTTATCTTACCAAAGGTAGTGGTTAAAGCAATTGAGAAAATATGTAGTGAACCTTTGTGGGGTGTTAGTGAAAATGGGAGAAGAAAGGCAGTTGTGGCATGAGAGAAAATTATCTTCCCCAAGAAAAAGGGAGGTCTGGGTTTAAGAGATCGAGCTAGAATCTTGCTTGTGTCATCAGACACATTCGGCTTATCTTGCTGCACCAGAGATAGGTTTGGGTTGCATAAAGTAGAGAATTTAAAATGAAAGGAAAGAACTTTTGGTTTGTGGAATGGAATCACATTAGGGATGATAATTACCCACCCATTGGTAATTATATCCAAACCCAAGTAGACCCATTGATAATAGGTAGGGTATGAATGAAGTATATATGGGTTGGGGGGTTGTAGATGAGTTTGGGTAAGGTATGTATATTGTTTTCATAATCTAAATGGGTATGGGTTGGATATGGATATCCTTTTACTTTAGGTATTTTAACTACACATACAAAATTGGACATATTTGTAAAAATTGAAAATTTTAGGTACCAAAATGTAAGACCAAAAAAATTAAGTACTAAAATGTAATTTTCTATCAATTTTTTGAGGACTTATATGCAAAAAATTAATTTTAGGTACTAAATATGCATATCTAATAAGTTTAGGTACCAAATTGTAATTTGCATTTGGGCATGGGTACAAATCCAAATCCATGTAGACCTGGAAAATTAGAAACCGACCAGAAACCGCCCGAAAACTAGAATTTTTTGTAACACGAAATCCGAATGACTCGAACCCGATAACCCGTATTTTTTTGTGTCGGGTTGGGTGGGTTAGCGGGTCAACCCGTTAGACCCATTCCATTTTATATATCACTCCCAAAATGATAAAATCACTCATAAACTGGTGAGATGTTTAAAAAAAATCACAAGGATTTGAATAACATGTTTAGATTTTAAGGATAATCAACTATCATGTGTTTCTTGTAGTAGTATTACTCTTGTGATTGTTTTTTGATGATTTGCGCAATTTGAATTTCATTTCATTAGTGTGGGAGGATTTGAGAATATGTTAATTGACATGTGTTAGGTAAACTATTGTCATGCATATGTGGAAATTTGTGTTCTTTATGAAAATATGAAGCATGTTTGATATTATTTCTGAGAACGCTCATAACCCGAAATAACCTGTAACCCAACCCGAAACTGAATGGGTTGGGTCAATATTTGACCCGAAATCAACAAACCAAACATGACCGGACTTGTAACCGAAGTTCCCAACATGAAATTACCCAACCCGACCCGGTTGCCAGGTCTAAATCTATGTGTTAAAAACCCAACCCAAGTAAATGGATATGGTACAAACCCATCAAACTCTATCCATGTCCATCTATTTGGATTTTATACGCACCTCAATTGGATTGGATAGTAAAATACACATGGGTATGGGTACAATTGCCATCCCTAATCCAGATGGAGAAATATATAGTGAAGAATGTCCGGGACCATCTTTGGCTTAGAAGAGCACTTGTTCCCTGGCGTGATCTAGTGTGGAAACGACCTTCTATTACTAAAAATCTTATTCTCCTCTGGTTGGTTACCATGAATCATATCAATGGGACAAACCTTGGACTTGTGGAGGTGACTTTAACCAGGTATTATCGGAGGCTGGGAAGAAGGGTGGAAACCTACTGGTGGAAGGGGAGATGAGAGCTTTCTCGGATTGCAAGACTTAGGGTTCACAGGTTACCCATTCACATGGGAAGATAGGCGCCAAAGGGTAGGCTACATCGAAGATCGAATTGCTAGGTTTGTCACAAATGAGAGCTGGAGGGAGAAGTGGCCGCAAGCGCGAGTTTCTCACCTGGTCAGAACTCGTTCCGATCACCGCCCACTCCTGTGTGAAACGGCGGGTGAGGAGGATGAAGAGGTGAAATGGGGTTGGAGTTTTAAGTTTGAGCCTCACTGGTTGAAGCATGAAGGCTGTCAATAGGCTGTAGAGTAAGCATGGACTTCTTCTGCGGGAGATAGGTTTAACAAAATTGTTGTCTTAAGTGATAAACTCAGCTGTTGAAATAGAGAAACCATTCCTGACATCCGACGTCAGAGAGCTAAGATCACGCGTTCACTAAAAGCTCTTGACATGGCGACGCATACGGACCTTGTGATTGACCAAATATTGAAGTTGCAAGAGGAGTTCGAGGATCTGGAATGTGATGAAGAACTATTTTGGAAATAGAGGTTGCAGGCTGATTGGCTGAAAGATGGCGATAAGAACAATAATTATTTTCACAGGAAAGCCTCGGCTAGAAGAAGAAGAAGAAATACTATTAAGAAGCTGAAAGATGAAGTAGGGCAATGGTGGACTGGACAAGATTAGGCGTTCGCATGTCTTTTTAACTATTTTGACCTTCTATTTTTGGTAGGAGAGCGGCCCCTACAGACTCCAATGCTTGATTCCATTGTTCGACGTGTGAGTGATGAGGATAATGAGAAGCTTATTGGCCCTATCACGAAGGAGGAACTATGGGCGGCCCTGAAATAGATGGGTAAGCGTAAGGTGCCAGGTGCGGATGGGCTTTCAGTTCTGTTTTTCACAACGTTCTGGAATGTTATTGGGGATGAAGTTACTGCGGCTTTACTCGAGGTCCTCGAGCGTGGGATTATACCCTCGGGGCTCAATCACACGTTAATTGCACTTATCCCAAAAGTGAAAGACCCGGTAATGGCAAAATAATACCGACCTATTAGCTTATGTAACGTGATATATAAGATGATGGTGAAGGCTTTGGCCAATACGTTAAAAGGAATTCTGGACAGGATTATCTCCTGCGATGAGAGTGCGCTTGTACCAGGGCGTTTCATTGTAGATAATGTCATGACGACCTTTAAGTGCTTTCATAATATGAAGATAAAATCAAAGAATACAAAAGGTTTCATGGATGCGAAGACTGATATGGCGAAGGCGTATGACCGAGTTGAGTGGTGGTTTCTGGAGGAGGATATGCGGAAAATGGGTTTTTCAGAGAGCTAGATCGGCATGGTGATGATGTGTGTACGCACGGTTACATACTCCTTCCTTATCAATGGTCATCGATTGCAGCAACTCATCCCCAGTAGAGGACTCAGACAGGGGGACCCCTTCTCCCCGTACTTATTCCTTCTCGTAGTGGAAGGCTTAAGCTCATATACCTCAAAGGCGGTGCAGGAGAAGAGACTCCACGGAATTTCAGTGGCTCGGGGATCTCCAGTGATCTTACACCTCTTTTTCGCTGATGATTCTATCTTTTTTTCCAGGGCAATTATTCAGGAGAGCCTTGTGCTCCAGCAGATATTTCGAGATTACGAAAGAGAGTCAGGGCAGTTGGTGAGCCTGGAGAAATCAGAAGTGACTTTTGGTGGGAACGTGAAGCCGCACCAGCGACTTCTAATCAGCTCGGTTTTGGGAATGAAAGGTGTAGAGAAGCATAACAAATATTTGGGACTTGTAGCAGAGGTGGGGAGATCGAAGAAAGGCTTGTTTACCTATCTGAAGGATCGAATCCGAAATAAGTTGGTTGGATGGAAAGAGCGGGTGATATTTGTGGCGGCAAGGGAAGTCTTGATAAAATATGTAGCCCATGCTCAACTCACTTACACCATGTCGGTGTTTCGAGTCCTCGAAGTTATAATAGATGATGTACATGGTCTGATCATGAGGTTTTGCCGAGGGCAGCAGGGTGAGGAGACACACATTCCCTGGATTGCGAGAGAGGAGTTGATAGCTCCAAAGGCGGAAGGAGGTATGGGTTCAAGGGATCTTCGAGGATTTAATATTACTCTGCTGGCAAGAAAGTTATGGAGATTACACCTTAGACCTAACTCGTTAATCTCACGCCTATTGAAAGTGAAATACCACAAACATGATATGCTCCTGGATGCGAGGGTGGGCCAGCGCCCCAATTATGTGTCGAGGAGTCTTCTTAGTGCTCAGGAATTTCTGGTTAGCGGCTTAAGGTGGCGAATTGGGAACAGAGCTTCTATGAGAATTTGGGGTGATCGGTGGCTCCCGAAAGCCCGGGCTACATTGTTTAGTCAGCACCCATGGGTATTTTTGTTAATTCGACTGTTCGGGAGCTCATAGATGAGGACGTTAAGCAGTGGAATAGGGATCTCATTGAGAGTTGCTTCCCCACTAATATGGTGGATGCTATTGTGCGGATACCTTTGAGGAATGTGGCTGAACCGGATTAGCTGATATGGGCGAGTAGTCGAGTTGGGAAGTATTCGGTCAGAGAAGGATACAGGCAGTGGCTCCGGGAGCATAGAGAGGCTAGCGGAAGAATTGTTTTAGGGAATCAAGGGCTACGGAAGAAATTATGGGGTATGAACACACCACCGAAAGTGAAACAATTCATTTGGCGTTTGGCCAGGGAGTCTCATGCGACGGGGGATCATGTCAGTAATCGAAGTATAAGAAGGGGTGATGCTTGTCCATTTTGCGACCTAAAGGTAACTCAGGTCCACAGGGTAAACTCAGTGTGCATGGTCATGCCAGATATGGTGAAAGTCCCAGGTAGCTCACTGTTCTGATATGCGAGGTGATTTGACAATCCTGAAGTGGATGGAGACCGTGGCGGAGCGAGTGACCGAGAAGGAGCTGGAGGATTGGAGTATGCTCATATGGATGATTTGGAAGGAGCGAAACTCCCAAATGTTCAATGGGTGAAGCTAGATGAAGAAGACATAGTACCACGCTCTACGACTTTGCTGGACGAGTATAGGCTTCACCAAACTTTGCTCCAACCGTCATAGATCGACCATGTGGAGAGGAAGTGGACGAGGCCAGAAGCAATGAGGGTCAAAATAAACACGGATGCAGGTGTGGATATGGAAGGAATTAGACTTGGGGTGGTGGTGCGCGATGCTAATGGGTGCTTCTTTATGGCAGCTGCGAAGAGAATAAGGGGCGGACATGAACTAGCAGTAGTGGAAGCCATGACAGCCGGATTCGGCTTGCAGCTGGCTAGTCGTCATCAACTTGGTGTTCCGGTCGTAGAAATTGACTATCTGTCGGTGGTGAATTGCATTAAGGATGCAGACAAGGATTATACAAAACTCGGAGTGGTTTGCAAGAATATCATACGGATCCTTGGAGAGATGGGAGGAGGAAAGTGTAAGCATGTAATTCGGACAGTAAATGAAGCACCACACATCATGGCGCATACGAAAACGAGATGGGATGAGGATGAGGTCTGTTTTGATCGACCTCCTATGAGTCTGCTAGATCACTTGAGATTGGACAGTGTAACAGTTTCTTCTTATTAATAAAGCATAATGTAGATTCCTATATAAAAAATCATATCAATACTTGTGATAAAATGTTGAAGTGGGCTTTGGTGGTCCCTTAGAGTGTGTTCTGTGTGGTCATTGAACTAGAGACTAGAGGTCATGTGTTTGCTGCCTGTCCTAGCTTTAAGATTATCTTTCAAGCTCTGTTTACAGGGTACACCAGCAGAAGGCTTAATGATGATATGGGATTTATAGCTGGCATGGTCAATCAAGGCTTTCAAAGACAAGTCACCAACTATTAAAGTGGGAAGAGTGATTTGGAGCGCTGTAAATGGAACTCTCTGGTCTGAACGATATGCTGCAAAATTTGCAAGAGCATAGTTAATTAACACGTTGAAGATTGCTGAGAAGATAAGAAAACGATGTTGCAGTGGTGGTTGAGAATGATGCCTTTGTTTTACCAGAAAGAAAAGAAAGAAAAAAAGAAGATATTGATGCCTTTCCAATTTTTGGACTCTTTGATTGGCTTCACCCTCTCTTTGTTCTTGTTGCTTGGTTAGATTACATAATAGTATTCTAGAAAGATAGGGTTAGTGGACATGGATAGAGTTTCTTTCTCATTTAGTAGGGTTGTTGCTTTTTGATGATATAATTAACTAGTTCATCAAGAAAAATAAAACGAGTTGGATAAATTAATAAAATTCAGTTTACTCAAAAAGTGATTGTATATGTTTGTTTTGGCCATGAATTCTTATTTTATTTAAACAAAAATTCCAAAAATAATCAAAAGAGTTGAAATTTTGGTCATTATACTAGCCTTGAGCTATAGACTATAATCATACATCAATGCCATCTATAAGCAATCACAACTATTTTTGAAGATAGATATTAGTTACTAATGAATCAACATTTGAAAATTTATGTTTTCTTAATTATTATTTTTAGATTATTTTTATCATAGAGTTTGAACTTACACTACAAGGAAATGGGGCTAGCCCAAGGGTTTATTCTCTGCGGTTTTCCCAACCCCTTTCGGGCTTTGTTATTTTCTAATTAAACTACAAGGAAGTGGGGCTAGCCCAAGGGTTTATTCTCTGCGGTTTTCCCAACCCCTTTCGGGCTTTGTTATTTTTTACTTTTGGCAGCCAATCCACCAGCTGTTGTTCCAACCGCTGAGAAGGCAAACCATTTAATTTTTATTTTCATTTTATTCTTTGAACAATTCCCTTTTTCCGTCGAGTCCTCAGTTCCTCGATGGAACAATTCTCTTTTTCCGAACCCTAAAATTGCCGCAGGCGAGACCTCCAATACCCTAGAAAATCCATGGTCTTTGCCTCTCCTTCATCGATCTTTGCGATTTGAAACTAGACCTCTGCTAGCTGACCGCTTCAACCACCACCCCTGTCTACCCTTCTACTTAGACGAACCACCATCTCCGGCCAGGTCTCCTTCTCCGACATGGAGCTTTGTCCTTCATGAAATCCTCCTTCGGCTGCCACTTCTCGTCTACCTGATTCCACATCTGTCTACTGTTGTTCACTAGTAAGAACTAGTTTATTTGATTTCTGGCTTTCTATCTCTATTAGATTTAGGATTTCGGTGAAGTCCCTCTGTTTCTCGATTGCATAGTCGTGTTCTAGCATCAAGGAGGCAAAGTCAGCAAGCTTTGAACCTTCGTTTTTGACGATGGGGATGAATTTCATGTTTGTGGTGTACGCTGAGGAGAAGTAGGATGTGGAGTACTTGATCAAAGCCAGAGATTGTAAGAAGTAATTAGGGCTTGGTATTTGATATCTTTGAATTATTCAATTTTATCAATTAGAGCTAACTAGGTATGGTTGAAATTGGACATAAATATATTGGTTGGATTAGGAAGAGCTGAAAAAGTATTTTCCTGTACAACCAAGATAAATGTTCAACACAGCTTCTTTTATGTTGACTGCAATTTTAAACTCCCATGTTGTACCATTTCCATTTTAAGTCTTAGTGTAGCTGAACTTAGAGGATAACGATACTATCATCTATATGGTTGGGCCATTTCAATCTCAGCCTTGACCATGGCAGAGTTAGGAAGATGACTGAACAAACAACAAAAAAAGACCTGCTAGAGGAAAGATTTCAATGGGATACTTATCCACAATGTAAGTCCACTATTTATCTATTGGATAATAGGGGTTGGGTTAACTTTAATAACCCTCATAGTCATAGTTTTTCTGTAAGAAGGAGCTTTGTCCCGTTTTCGGCTGCAGATTGGCAGGTTCCAATGAATTATTCAGTTGCTGATTTGGGTTCGGTTGTTTATATCATATAATGATGTCATGTTGTATTCCAAGTCTGAGAGTGGAACTTTGCCTCAATCATTCCCGTACTTTCAGAAATCAAGTATCCTAATTATTAGAATACATAATATAGTATAGGTAGCTTGCTTAGTCCACTAAGGCAGAGGCCTAGCAAGAGGGCACTACATTCTACGAACTGGTTGAGAAGTTGAATGCTTTGACGCCTCGAACTATGGAAACTTAATAAAATAACTCTGCACTAAATGCATGCATTTTTTTTTCTACCAGAAGCTTTACATTAAATAAAACAAGACAACTGGTTTGTTCAGTAGGGATATAAAGACTCTACACTCCATGTTAAGACAGGACATATGAAGCTATATATTGGGTGTCTAAACTGGGAGGTGTGTTGCTGGTGTATGTACTGGACTTCCACTTGAGTCTCCTCTATTGTTCATCTTTTTTTTTGGAATCGTGTATATCTTATTGGGTTGTTTGTATTTGTATTAGATATAAAGGAGCTTGCTCGCAATGCTGCTTACACTGGCACTCCCAAAAAGGGAGTTCTCTCTATTAACGAGTTCTCTGGCACCTGAAAAGCGTCCTCCAGCATCAACGTCGAGAATATTGAGGAAAATAGGCGTGCTCTCCTTAAGCTCATCTTCACCCCCTGGTGCCCCCAGTACCTCAGTGGAGTGATCCTCTTCGAGGAGACCCTCGACCATAAGACCAGTTAGGTATATAAGATGTGCCTAGCTTGAAATTTGTTGCTCTGGTTGATATAGAATTTATGGATTGTTTGCCTGCTTTTTTCTGTATTCTAAGGGCATGTTTGGAAGTTAGGATTCTCTAAATTGATGTATTTAATCAATGTATGTATTATAATTAGATGCATTGTTTCAATGTATGAATTTGAAAAATACATTGTTTGGAGATTGAATGATTTTGGTGGTCCCTCAAAGAATAAGGAACAAAAAATAAGACAACAATCTCTCAAACACAATCTCTGCCAAAAGTTGAGATTGACAATCATTCATAATGAATGATTCTGGTGGGCCCATCTGCTGTTCAAATACAAGCATTCTGTTTCATTTTAAGTCAAAAAAACGATGAATTCTTCTGATTACATGTATTGGCTAAATACATCATCTGAAATCCCAACTTCCAAACGAGCCCTAAATTGTAATGTTTCTGTTGTGTCGTATTGTTTTCAAGGAAGCCCTTCATTATCATATTGTTTGGTATTTCGTTCTGATACTCTTGTCTTTGATAGAAGATTTTGAAACTTTTTTGCAAGTCTGATGAGGTTTTGATATAGAAATAACAACGCGAATCTCTCGTGCATGTGAATTGCATAGATATGTGACATCATCAAGCAGACTCACTACAAGAAACTGCACTTTCTGCGACGAATTCTACAGCGACGCTAGGAAATTCGTCGCAGAAAGTGTACAATTTGCAACGAATTTCACTTTTTCGTTGCAAATGGTGTGAAATCTTTTTGCGATGGTAGTCTGTCGTAGCATAATGTATGTACACTTTCTGCGACCATAACCCGTCGTTGCAAAATTTTCGGGAGTTTTCTGCGACAGTTATCCATTGTCGCAGAATGTGTGAAGACTTCCTGCGACGATTTTCTGTCGTCGCAGAATGTAGGTAGATTTTCTGCGACGATAACCATCGTCGCATAATGTTCGAGAGCTTTCTGCGACGATGGCCTGTCGTCGCATAATGTATGTAGACTTTCTGTGACGATGGTCCGTCGTCGCAGAATGTCTGTAGACTTTCTGCGATGATTGTTCGTCGTCGCAGAATGTATGTAGATTTTTTGCGGCGATAGCCTGTTGCCGTAGAATGTTTGGGAGCTTTCTGCGACGATGGCCTGTCGTCGCAGAATGTTTGAGACTTTATGAGACCTTTTTTAGTCATTGTATAATGCTTCATGAAATTTTATATTTGGACTTAATTATCTAACATAAGGCTTATATTTGGAATTAATTTTATATTTTATATTTGGAGCTAAGAATTTCGAGGATAATTGGAATTGGTTTTAACCGAAGGATTTAAAGTGCTTTGATGAATTTTCCAAGTTACACTACAAAAAAAAGAGGCTTTAACGAGGGTGAAAACCGGTCGTTAATTGTCCAAAAATGGTCGGGAAAGGTTATTAACGACAGGATAGGACCCCTCATTATAGGCTTTGCCGGTAAAAGTCAATAACGACGGGAAAATTGTGTCCGGTCGTTGAAAGTATCAACGATGATACTTTTTCCAGTCGTTAAAGATCAATTTTACAAGTAGAATCATTGGTATTGCCGACAAGAATTACCATTATTTAAATATAGCAAATGATAGAATTCATGTAGTTATTGTGTTGCAACTAACAAAAGTCTCATCATTAATGAATTGCTAATGACGTTCAGAACCAACGAGGATGACCTATTTTCGAAAGTTTAATCATAAAAATAATTGTCATCATTTATATTATTAAATCGAGTACATAAAAACAAATAGAGTAAGATTATGTCATTGTGCACAAATAACTAATTCAACACCTAATACAAACGAGAGATATAGCTTTCTAAGTGGGTGGGAGCCATAACATTCATTTCTTCAACTTCTTGAAGCACTCTTCTTTTATCGCCGAGCCTAACGTGTGTGGTTCCAAGTCCTTGCTGAAGCACTGGAAACAAAGTGATGTTACTCAATATATATAGAGTTATAAGGAGATGATAGACATATTAAAGATAGAGAATAAAGTAACGGAAGGATAGAGCTAACAAAAACAGAGGAAACATTCTACCAAAAAAAGAAAACAGAGGAAGCAAAGGAAAATTAAGTTATTTTCTCAAAGCTTCAAGAACTTTCAAAGCGAGGATAAGAAATTCACTCTCCTTAGAGGACTTGCAATTAGAACACTTGAAGAATATTTACCTACAAAAGACAACAAGTGCTCTTATTCAAACAACCAATAATAGTAGGCACCAATAATATGCCAAATTAAACAAAAACAACCAACCACCATCTGTTCTTGCTGAAAGCAAACATCAAGTGTAGTCCAACTTGTGCATTTACAATCCTTTCTCAACTCTCTAGGTCAAGAAATATGGACGTCATAATGATCAAGAACAAACAAGAAACCCAGAAAGGGTACAACATTCAATCCAATTATTACCAACAAGCTACACATTTCCCGAAAGGTTGCTTCTTCCATGAGCTTCAGCTGCTCTCTATATTCTGCCCTCCCTCTCCAGTACAATTCTAATCTTTGTTCTAACCAAGATATATTCCAACCTCCCCCCTGTCTAATTACTATTAGACTAACAGACAAAACAATGCAATGGTCTAGTTGAATCAAATCCATACAAGAATCAAATTAGAGTAGTATTTTTCTCAAAGATTGGATCTTACAAAGAAAGAGGAGAAACATGTCCCCCAGTCACTTATTTCCAAAGCATCGGAGTCGAATCAGTAAATCCACACAACTACAAAAAAGAGAAGCTAAAGAGTCAAACAAGAGATCGAGTTAGCTAACGAGAAGAGTAATTTCAATAACCCTAGAAATTTGGTTCTTGTATGGATTTGATAGCTGAAGGTGATATTCCATACCTCGCTTTGGGGCGCTAGATTCTGTAATCTATGAATCGGGAATCAAGCTGGGATTGGAGACTTGAAACCCTAGCCCAATCCATCGGTAACAAGAAGGGACCGATAGGGGAGTTACAGTTGGCTGCAGCAGTGGGGACGAAAGAGGAACTTCGAAGCGTCGGCACGAAGATGGAAGCGCTAGAAGACAAAGCCCGAAGAGGAGTTTTGGAAATGGGTGCTCTCTGCTCCTCAGTGCGAGCTCGAAAGTGAAGGAGGGCTGAAGGAATTAGGGATTAGGACGGGTTCCAATTTGACTATTTAGTCAGGAGAGATTCTGGGGTCGGAACGATTAGAAAATAGAGATTGATGAGACGGGAAAGGGGTTGTGAGATGAGGGGAGGGGTGGTGAGAAAGACAGAGATCGTATGACCAGAACGAGTGGGTAAAGAAGCGGGGGAGATGAGTAAGAATGGAAATAACTTTACCAATTTCCAAGGGTTTAAAGTTAAGTTCAAACCCCCCATCAAAAAAAAAAAAAAGTTAAGTTCAAACCCATTCCTTTGTGAACGTACAAACAGAGCCCGGGAAACGAAATTATTTTGGCGGTCTCCCAAGTTGAATTTTCAATACCAGTAACGAGGGGGTTCAATTGTCGTGATATATGTAAAAGCAATAACGAGGGGTTTTTACCACCTGTAACGACAAGAATAATGTACCCTTCATTACAAGGTGGTCCCATACAATTTATATGGTTTTAACGATGGGATTTGATCCCCTCACCAGTTTTTCCCCTCGTTACAACCAGGTTTTTTTGTAGTGTTAATTGGAATTAGTTAAAATATACTAATGTGGATGCTGAGGTGGATTGTTGGTTAACGGTGTTATGAGTGGCTAAAATTTTAGACAGGTATAAAAGGTTTGATTATTATTTTGTATTATCAAAGGTTTGGCTATTATTTTGAATTTATTTACTCTTATGATTTTCCTATTAAGATTGATTAAGGATTAAATACAACTGAGCAATTGTAGAAGACAAATGCTTTATTTGTAGCCGGATTGGTTCACATGGTAGTGATAAGTTTATTGTGAACATAAGAGAGGGTAAGTATATAAAGGAAGAGTGGAGAGTGATAGAAAACCCTAGCCGCCCAAACTCATTCTATTCCTTCTCTCTTTTTCCTCTCTCTCGTATTCTCTATTTCTCTCCCAAAACGACAACCCGACTGTAATCCTCTCGGTGGCGGTGGAACAAAGACTGTGGGAGAAATAATGAAAAGGGTCGCCAGTGCTTCGGGTGTCAATGGCGATTAAGGAAGATCGAAAAGTGCATGGGTTTTGGCATCTGACAGCGGCGAATCAGCTCCTCTCGATCGGAAAAGCGATGATTCGGGTAAGATTTGGCCTGCATGTGTGTTATTCTTGAGGATTTCTGGCTCAAGAATGCGATTGGGACATTTTTATTCTGGGTTTTGTTTTCAAAAGTGGGGATAAGAAATGGGGTTCGCCAATGGCATCAGATGTTGAAGGCGGTGAATGAAGCTCGACGGATCTCAAATCTCCCCCAGCCGCGTTGAAGGAAGCTCGATGGTTCAACGTCTCGCGTCTGGGCGTGGTGAATCGGCTACAACTGCCGGCGGATGAACCAGATCTGCTCTTCCGACGAGAAAAGGGAAAGAAAGAAACCAAATATGCTTTTTATGGTAATTTATTATATAGATGTGCAGTGATAATTGTCAGAATAAAATTGTTTTCCCAGAAAAGTTCCTTAGTTTTTTTATTGTATTTACGAAATCTGATTTTTGTTTTAATTAATTTGCAGGTTTGGCATTCGGACTTGCAGATCTGGATTTTGGATGAGGAATTGATGGTGTATTTTGGGCAAATCTGGAGGTGCAGATTTGATGTTGACGAAGGAACCAGAAAATGAAACGAAAAATAAATGGTGACCTAAACTGAAATTAACCCGGATATAAAATGTGACCTATATTGAAATTAACCCAAAAATAAATTGTGAATAATTATAAAAAATGGCCATCTTTCTGCAACGAACTATCCGTCGCAGAATACCCTTATCTTCTGCAACGGTGCAATTGGCGTCGCAAAATGATCAT